AAAATGTATTTAGTATAATATTCATATTTATTTATTAATTAATTTATTGTGATAGAAATAAACTTGTATTTAGAGTTAAAATGTAAAAAAAATAATTATTAATATTTCAAAAATTTTGTGGCAGCAATAGTGAGAGTCTGTTTGGTATTCAGTAAATGTAAACAAATTTTTTTTTTTTTTCTTAAATACTTATACATTTATTTATTGCATCTTCTCTTACAATGAGACACAATAAGTTTTAAAACCTTATCACTAATTACATAATATTACAAATTTTTATTTTAACTATACATTGCATAAAATAAAATAAAATAAAATAAAATAAGTAAACCTTATATCACGATCCTCACTTAGACTAATGGGTTAAATTTCATTGTAGTGAATGCTAGGTGGTTAATTAAGAAAACAGTTCAACCTTATCAGATTACTTGCAAGAAAGGTACGGTTTTTTAGTTCAAGCTGTTGACTATTAATTAATGGCTGGACGGATTGCTCTGTCAGTTTTTTATTGTATTTTTTTCTTATATTGTCAAATTCAGTTTTAACTAGGGGAATTTATAGATCTCGGTGAATACTTTCATTCTTTATATACCACGGGGCACCAGTGATTTTTCTCAGTATTTTTCACTGAGCTCTTTGTACAATTTCAATATTTGAAGCACTAGCATTGCCAAATAGCTGGATACTATAAGTCCATATTGGTTTTATGATGCTGTTGTACAAGAGTACTTTATACTTTAGGCATAGGGAAGATCTGCTATTAATGAGCCAATATATCTTAGAAGCTTGGGGCTTCATCTGAAGCCATTTTTTTTGGCTTCAATAAGTTTGCGCCAAGTTAGTCGTCTATCTAGGTGAATACCTTAGTACGTTATATTATCTGCTTGTGGTATGGGAATGTAATTTAATAAAATTGTTGGAGATGTACTCCGATTTAGGTAAAGATGATGTGTCTACATTTTAGTTCCTTAATTTTAATTCGCCATTTTATCTGCTTGTGGTATGGGAGTGTAATTTAATAAAATTGTTGGAGATGTACTCCGATTTAAGCTAAAAATGATGTGTCTACATTTTAGTTCGTTAATTTCAATTCGCTATTTTGACAACCATTCTTCCACCCGAGATAAGTGAGATTGAAGTTGGTTTGAAGGTAGCACAACGATTTTGTTTTGACATAAAATAACCGTATCATCCGCAAATGTTGTGGTGACGACTGAGCTACTTTTCGGGATGTGTAAAGTACATACAAGATAGGGCCTCGAACACTTCCTTGTGGAACGCCAGCTTCTATTCGGAAATTATTAGAAGTATATGATTTATATTTAACTTTAAAGCTTCTGTTATGCAGATACGATTCTAAAACTGAGTGGTCATTTGAAAGTAATGAACAACGTATCTTATATAGAAGCCCATTATGCCATACTTTGTCAAAGGCTTGTTTAACATCGAGGAATACCGCAGAACAATATTCTCTGAGCTGAAATGCGTGTCCCTAAAACCAAACTGGTGAGAGGGTATTAGGTTTTGACCGTCAAGGAATGGTTTAAGCTTTAAAAGCAGTGCTCTTTCAAAGAGTTTGGAAAGGCATAGCAGTATGCTTATTGGCCTGTAGGAAGAAGCAAGCGTGTGATTTTTACCTGATTTATGAATTATAATAATCATGGATGTCATGGATGAGTGGGAAAGTCATAATGTCCTGTTGCAGGATTTGGTTGGAACACCTCTTCTAGATATTCAGCAAAAACGTTTTATTTTTCTGCATCGCTTCGCGCCCAGTTTCTGAGAAAGTTTCTTATTGGATCATCGGATTCTATGCGGGAATTTATACTTTTGCTAGCATTCCACAAGGATAAATGGTTTTTGCCATTAGGTTTTGAATTTTGGACATAGGCTTTGTATATAATTAACATATATTGCCTGACTTAGGTTTACTTGCTTAATGCAGATCTAAGTCTGCATTGGGCCTCCTTAAATAAGTTTTTCGATGAAGGGGACCTGGATTTTTGGCATTCGCGCATTAACCTACGTTTTTGTTGAACTAAGTTTTCTATGTCACTATTTATTAGTACTTTATGGGATGTGTAAATTTTGTTGTCTTTAAGAGTGGAGATTTCTGCTGAAATCAGAATTGAGTTTAAAACCGACTGTTGACGAATCAACAAAAAATTAAGAACTAGGTCATGAGTTAATCGCTCACACCTGTTGCTTAATTTCTTGGTTGACGAATCAACAAAATGTAAAAATTAGGTCATAAATAAAGCATTTGCAACTATTGCTTATTAAGCAATTTGTGCGAATTAAGTAATAAGCTATTTTATTTATTGTATGTTTTGCAATTACGGTTGCATTTTATTTTGTATAAAAGAACAAATCAATTTAAATAAAATCAGTTGTTGAAAGTAAATCAACGTCTCACCAATCTTTTATTGTTTCCCCCCACCAGTGGTAAGGGACATAAAGATTGTTAATGAACATTCTTGTTCATTTTTGGCCCTTCGAGCCGGATTTTTGAAATTTCCCCCACCAGTGGTAAGAGTTTCAAATATACCTAACAAAGAGACTTAAGTCTAAGATTGAAGTTAATACAAGCGTACCGAGGCTTTTAACATCGGAGTGAAGTCAATACAAGCGTACCGAGGCTTTTAACATCGGAGTGAAGTTAATACAAGCGTACCGAGGCTTTTAACATCGGAGTGAAGTGAATGCAAACGTACCATCGAAGTGAAATAAGCAGAAGCGTACCGAGGCGCTCAACAAATCAAATCAAATACTAACAGAGGACATCATGGAGATCGAAGAGATAGATCAAGTTATCCAACATCAAAAGGACATTGAAGGTGAGATCCAGAGGATCTGGATAAATTTTAAAAAGGATTCTTCTACAAGATATTCAAAGCAGTATTTTGAGACACGTTTGGAAAATTTGCGTCAGAAATGGGACGCATTTGAAGACAACAATGATAATCTGATCAAGAATTTGAAGCCTGATCATGAATATATCACAAAAAATTACTATGGCCAGTTACAACAAAGACGGAATGAAATAGAAAATCGATTTAATAATGAATTGGAAATAATAAGGCAAATGGAGCAAAAGGAAGCTCAAGTATCAAGGCATCAAGTTATAAGAGGGC